AATGAGGTAACAGTTTGGTGGCTTGTAACGCACTCTTCAAATTTTATTTATTGTTTGGTCTTCTTGCCACTTCCTCTGAAGAATCAACTTTTCCCACAAGCAGACAGTGCTGGTAAAGAATTAATTCCTTAGGAAAAGTTATGCAAATATGAATAATTGCCCTCATTAGTTAATAACAGAACTCAAGTCACTTTATATATGCAAAGTCACTTTTACATCCTTTATGAATAAACCTATGTTTGCCCCTGTATCAGCACATTGCCTGACATTCAGTAAAAATGCATGGATTTAAAATAAATGTCAGGTATTGCCTGAATTAAGGTTTTCTTACATGAAGGGAAAAACATTGAGAAAAATGAAATGGTGCTATAATTTTCTGCAGTTGAATAGATTATAGTCCTCATTTCTCCTTTGCAGGATTTAAGCTTTTAAAATGTCACTAATTACAAAGATGAAAATGATGTAAGAATTATATAAAATAAAATATTTTTTAAAAAATTAAATAAAATGTCACTAATTAGAGAAAGAAGTATGCTTAATGTTTGGAGTCTGTCTACTAAAGCTTGTTGCTTAAATAAAGATTTGACTTGGTTTATACTTTCCATAGTATATAGTTAATATTTGGATTTGCAATTAAATAGGTCAAATGCATTTGAAATACAATGAGGGCGGATTAAAAATGAGATGGGAAATATACTAGCACTTTATTTTTTTTTATTTTTTTTTTTTTTTTAAAGATTTATTTATTTGTTTATTTATTTATTCATACAAGCACTGGGTACAGTCAGAAGCGTGGGAGGGTGAGAGAACTCACCAGAGCCAGAGCGGGGAGCAGAGCAGGCAGAAGGACTGAAGTACACTGCTGAGGGGAGCAGCGGGCGGCAGGAGAGGTCCGCGCACCATGCGGGACCCTCCTCCGGTGGCCGGGGAGCAGCCGGGGATCGAACCTGTGCTGCAGAGGCTGCCGGCAGCATCGCAACCCAGCGCTCAACCGCTGCGCCACCGGGGAGGCCCTACTAGCACTTTAGATATTACACTCAGAGTCTTTGTTTTTAATGATAACTTTTCCTTAATGGTGGTAACAGGAAAAATTCTAAGGAATTTAAAAGGAATCCTAAAAAGTTGAACAGTTTTGGGCCTCCCCAGTGGCACAGTGGTTGAGCGCTGGGTTGCGAAGCTGCCCGCGGCCTCTGCGGCGCCGGTTCGATCCCCAGCTGCTCCCCGGCCACCGGAGGAGGGTCCCACATGGCGCGCAGACCTCTCCTGCCGCCCGCTGCTCCCCTCAGCAGTGTACTTCGGTCCTTCTGCCTGCTCTGCTCCCCGCTCTGGCTCTGGTGAATTCTCTCACCCTCCCGCGCTTCTGACTGTACCCAGTGCTTGTATAAACAAAACAAACAAACAAATAAATAAATAAAACATGCCTCTATAAAAAAAAAAAAAAAGTTGAACAGTTTTAAGTATTTGTGTACTGTGTAGCATCTTACAGTTGAAGAAAAGAAAGTTTCCCCAGACTGCCAGATACTGTTCTGGAAAGCCCTTTTATCAGAAGTCTCATTTAGAGCAACTGGAAAAAGTTCTATTGGAAATAATGCCTTTAAAATAAATGTTAGACTTAAAATTTTGTTGGGGTGCTGTAGGCTCTAAAGCTATCTTTTTGCAATAAATACCAGATGGGTGAATCTGCATAATTCTGCAGTAGTCCCTGCAGCATTTTGGGGTGTTGTGCTGAAGGTACTTTGTTGACAGTACATATCCAGAGTTTAGATTTTTAAGGTTCACCAATATTACAGGGATTATAAAGTAAGTTTAGACTTAAATGCTTCATAGATGTGTCAGCTATTTAAAGAGTACCCAGTGGTTTTAACTCAGTTGCTTTAACATATATTAATATTTGTATCTGCTGTCTCTGCTGTGTTCCTTATATATATTGATAATTCAGTAGCAGACCAGTGGATGGAAGGAGGGTACTGGTATCCAGTTTTCTTCCTGCCTCCAAGGACTTGCCATTTATGCATCATTTGTATCTTGAACTCTGTTTTTGTTCACATAGAACCTCTTACCAGGATATGGAAAGAAGGAAAGACAATTGCTAATAACTGAGAGAAACTGATCAAGATGATTTGAGAGTTGATACCATAAAATAGTCAGTGCGTGCTAGCTGTAGTAAAATAGAGTGCCATTCTGTCCTTGTTGAGAATGTGATGCTTTTTCCCCCCTCCCTCCAAATCTTAGTTATGATTCATGAAAGTTATTGAGTTGTTTTTCAGCTTATTAAAGGAGAAAATGAAAGTAAAAAATTGAGACAATTACTCTAAATGAATTGAGTTTATACATTTGTCAATAGAATTCTATTTTTAGTTGAATAATACCTTGTGATCCAGCCTCTGTATTTTATAGAATGTTTAACCTGCTATGGTTTCGATTGTTACTCTTAAGACTGTAGTTAGTGACCCACTAGATTTTAATTGCAAGGAAATTTCAGAAAATGTGAAAAAGTGTGGTTAACCCTAGGAAATATCCATTCTTGCTTTCCTCAAAGTTGGCATCAGTGACTACTTAATGACAGCAGAATACTTTGAAAACATGTTCTGTAAAGTCCAGCTATTATTAAAATACCATAATAACTGTGTGTGAGTGACAGTTGCTTTTTTGTTGTAGAAACTGTGGTAAGAGGAAAACTTCTGCAAACTCCTTAAGAAAAATATAATACAAAAAAGCATGTGGCAAATTAAAGGGAAAAAAAGGGAATGTGGATGAGAAATAGAAAACCATGCATAGGTTTGACATTGTTACATTCATTTAAATTCCTTGTTTCCTTGGACTTTGCAGATGAGGTTGTTTTCTCTCTTTTTTATAGTATGTTTTAAAATACCATTTTTATATCTCTATAATTTACAATGCAGTAATGCCAAAATCCATTTTAATGTAATATAAAGCTTTCAAATTTGATTTTTCCAGTGTCGGGAAACAAACTGAGTACTAATTTTTCAGTTACTAGCTAGGCTCCTGACTGTATATGTTGCTCATAAAGCAGAGGCCACCTATACAGAGCAGTCTGTACTGTTGGTGTTTCACTGAGCATTTGCTCTTGTTTAGTACTGTTTGTCTCCTCATTTACTCAATATTCCCATATGCTATAATCTCTACACTAGATGAGAGCATCCGGCAAGCGTAGACTTCAAGTGTGAGCCAAAGTAAGCGGTGGGAAATGAAGCTTCTAATAAAATTTTGTGGACAACTGTTGCAGAATGTTTTTTGAAAATGGTACATAATAAATGGAAAAGTAGGTCACAACTCATTTTTTATAAAGTCCTTTCTACACCCATCTTTCAAAAGTTTGCTTATGCTCAGTGATCAAAGTAGTCACTTACAAATGGTGTAGTGTGGAAATAATTTTAAAATAACAATTTAAATAATTAAACGATTGCATTTTTTCCATTTTCTGTAAGCAATGGCTTTTTTTTTTTTTAAAAGATTTATTTATTTATACAAGCACTGGGTACAGTCAGAAGCGCGGGAGGGTGAGAGGATTCACCAGAGCAGGGAGCAGAACAGGCAGAAGGACCGAAGTACACTGCAGAGGGGAGCTGAGGGGAGCTGAGAGGAGCAGCAGGAGAGGAGCAGCAAGAGAGGTCTGTGCGCCATGTGGGACCCTCGCTGGTGGCTGGGGATCGAACTGGCACTGCAGAGGCTGCGGCAGCTTCGCAGCGCAGCACTCAACCACTGCGCCACCAGGGGAGGCCCAGCAATGGCTTTTTAAAAAAAGCCTATTACAAGTAACAACACATTTGATCATTTCTTCTCATGGAAAGGGCTGTGTGACTAAGACACAGGAATGATACTATGGTTTTCTTTTATTCTCATCAAACTTTATTCCCAATTTTAGTCAGCAAATAAACTGTTTAGAGTTTGTTTGCCTTTGCTAACGATCTTACCATTAGCTTACTTTAGTAAGCAAGAACAAGTTGAGCCAACAATTTTTGGAATGGAAAGAGAATATGGAGTCTCTAATAAAAATAAAAAAATCACCAGAGCTTGAGTGATTCAAAGAGTTTCTGTAAAATTGAAACATGACGTTTACAGAGGTGGGAGTATGGGCTGCCTCAAATCTTAACTTTGAAATTAAAGAAAATTTAAGTTATCAAATAGTTATGATCCACTTTCTATGGATAAGGTAAAGAAACATGCAAGGTGTCGTAAGAATTTGGGATGAGATCGTTGTAACTGAATATTAAATATAGTTTTGATGTTCTAATATTTAAGAGTAAAACAGTTTAAAAATAGACTTTTTGGTTCTTTTGATTTAATTAAAGAGAATGTGATCACGTTCCTGTGGAAGAAGATGCTTTTCAGTATTCAGAAGTCTCTCTTAGAGCTGTATTGTTTTCTTATTTCAACCATGGGGAAATGATAGAACAACAGCATAGCATCTTACGTGACTCAGCTCAGCTCTTACTATATACTTTGACCTAATTTACCCTTTGTATGTTCTTAATAAGTTATAGTCACAATCATAATAACCCTATCTATTGATCTTGTGCAGGATATTTATATTTATTATCTCACTTAAGCTCCTCGATTGGTCTTTTTGTCAAAATCATTTAAGTGAAAAATATAATGTAAAAATGCTTCCAGATTATTAAAAATAAGTGTCTTAATTGATGGTTTTTATCCCCTACCATGTGTCAGACTCTCTCGTGGGCAATTTGTATATTTTAGCTCATTTCACCATCACCACTAAGTTGTATGAAAGAGGTGTCTGTATTCCCATGTTATAGGTAAGATCTCTCTAGAGAGGGAGGAAGGGGCCTTTGAATGTGGTAAGAAAGATACTGGTCCAGGTGGAGAGACTGCAAATCCACACGCCAGAGCAGTCAGGAAAACTGATTTCTTGGAGGAGTTAGGACTGTTGCTGCTTATTGAGAAAGGGAACAAATCCTGTATTCCTACCACTGAGGTAAATGTATTCTCATTTTTTTTCTTTATGTTATTTCTTTCAGAAATATGGCTATATACATCTTTCTGCAGGAGAACTTCTTCGTGATGAAAGGAAAAACCCAGATTCGCAGTATGGTGAACTCATTGAGAAGTACATTAAAGATGGAAAGATAGTGCCAGTTGAGATAACCATCAGTTTGTTAAAGAGGGTAAGGAGTGTGAATGCCAACCAGTTTAAACCAGAAAGGAAATGAGAAATTAAATGCACCTTTGCTTTGAGTAATTAAGGAATCAGAGTATTGAACTTCTTGCTTGTGTCCTGGTGTTTGAGAATGGCAGAAGTGGAAATTCCACTTTCACCTGGGAAGAAATTGGGCAGTAGTAGGGATTCTGTTTCTTGGTCCAGGAGCAGCTACAGCTGAACTTACCATCCATATATGTACACTGGACCCTTCCTTCCCAATGCACAGTTCTCTCTTCTATTTCAATGTCTTCTTCCTTTTCTCCTCCTCCTCTCCTTTTTCTTTCTCTGAGAATCTGAGGCCTTCAGAAGCACATGCTTCCCATCACAGCATGGTGGTTTAGGAAGGCGATAGGGAAGACCAGTCACGCTCTCTAGTAGCTGGAGCAAAAATAGGGCTTGTGTCTGAACACTATTCATGACTGTATATGTGAAAAAAAAAAATATATATATATATATATAAGCATATATATATGAGATAATATGTGAAAGTAATATATGCTTATTATAGAAAATACACATTATAGAAAAAACTAGTGTAAAAGTAAGTGTATAGAATGGGGGAGGAGTACAGTACCCAAATGTCACCAACTTGAAGCAGCCATAATGCATTGGTTCATTTCCTTTAAGTCTTTTTTTTCTTTCTCTGCACCTTTCACTCTACTTATGATTTAAGGTGAGTGATAAAACTCACATATATCTACCACCCTGCTTAAGAAATTGCATTTTGTTTCAACCTGCATCATCTTTTGCCTTTAGGAAATGGATCAGACAATGGCTGTCAATGCACAGAAGAATAAATTCTTGATTGATGGGTTTCCAAGAAACCAAGATAACCTTCAAGGGTGGAATAAGACCATGGATGGGAAGGCAGATGTATCTTTTGTTCTGTTTTTTGACTGTAATAATGAGGTAATGAAAATCTTCTTTTGCCTGCATGGGCTTTAGGCAGCCACTGGTCAGTTAATAAAGAAAAAGTGTGGGTTTTTAAATTTATATTTACATTTTATATTGATATCTTGAATTGGTAGACGGAGTGGACAGAACAGCACTGTGTTGCTGTTGGAATATTAAAATCTGTTTGACATCAGCAACCTTATGGACCTAAATTTTGAGGAAAAAAGGAAGTTCTGTTTTAAATTGACAACTGACTTATACAATAATGTTAAGTAATGAAGCTGACTTATTACTTTCTTAGGTATGCACTGTTACCAGAGCATCTCACCTTAGGTTGTCATTTGTGGAAAACAAACTCACATTTCTGGAAGTCGAGAAAACTCTTTTTAAAAGACACACACACATACACATACACACACATATACATATATATGTATATGTGTATATATTTATGATAGCCTGTTTGTCTTCTAAGAATGAAATGATCTTGAGAATAGCAGGAAAACATTCCTTTTCCCTCAGAAACTTCTAATAACACACCCCAGACATACCTTTGAATAACTAAATGAATTTCTCGGAATCATTTAATTAAAAGGCCTGACTGTTTGACAGCTGTAATATAAATTTCATTACATTAATGCCAACAGCCTGAATGAATAAGAATCTGAAATAGTGCCTTGAAGGAAGTTGGCTCTTCTTTGGTTGAATCACAAATGTGCCTCTGGTAGAGACTTGTTGCAGCCTTTGAGTTGTTTTAAAATGTAACTCTGTTCTTCCAACCCCCAAAAATATGTTTTCACTTATTCTTCAAAGTTAACTTTAGAATGTTACCACAACTTTATAACTAAGGAATGTTTATTCACGATTAACAAGGGATACTCTATTCAAATGCAAATATGTTGACTCTTAAATATTTGGGTATTGATGGAATTAGTCGAAAAGTAAGCAAAAATGGAGCAAAGTTTGAGGCATGTAATTCATACCTAATAAGTTAATAATATATCCTAGATGGAACCATATACATACAGATCTTCTTTTTATTGCGGTTTGAAAAAAAATACACAGGAAAAACTGAGTCATGAATGAATTCTTATTATGCTCTGTACTTACTTAACCTAGTTTATATAAATTGAACCACATGTTTGAATTTAAAAGGACTTTGCATGTTGATTAATAAATTAGACGCATTGGGTTTAATGTAGGGTGTTTTTTTAAATCACTTCAAACTTTATTCTCTTTTCAATATAAGAGAATGGCAAATTTATATCTCTGTATTTTTTTAATAACTTTTTAAAAAGATTTATTTTTATTTATTTATGCAGATAAGAACTGGGGTGTAGGTCAGAGATGCCGGAGGTGGGGGGAGAGGATTACCAGAGACAGAGTATGGAGCAGAACATGTGGATCTACTGAAATACAGTGCTGAGGGGAGCAGTGGGAGAGACAGGAGAGGTTTGCTGCTGCACCCTGTGGGTTAGCTCCCTCGCCCGGCATCGAACTCATGCCACAGTGGCTGGCAATAGTTTGATAACCCTGAGACTTTAACTCCTGCGCTACGGGGAGGCCCTTAATAACTTTCAATTTATTTTTCTTTTTTAGATCTGTATTGAACGCTGTCTCGAGAGGGGGAAGAGTAGTGGCAGGAGTGATGACAACAGAGAGAGCTTGGAAAAGAGGTACTTTGCAGTTTTTACACATAGCAACCTCACTTTCAGTTTGGAACTTCAGTCACATTAAATACCTGCCGCACTTTGGTCCAGGCTGAAATAGGTAACAAAACTTGTCTCAGAAGATGTTGAGGGAGTCAGTTGAGTCTGTGACGTCTTCTGAGCTATCCTGTAACATGGAGGACAGTGGATGGTTTCTTAAAACTTTGCAATATTGGTTTCTTTGCAGAATTCAAACTTATCTTCAGTCAACAAAACCAATTATTGACCTATATGAAGAAATGGGGAAAGTAAAGAAAATAGATGCTTCTAAATCTGTTGATGAAGTGAGTATCCCTAGCTTGCCACTAAAAACAAGAAGTCAAGTTTAATTGTGATTTTTTTTTTTTTTTTGAGAGGATGGGCAGGAGAAAAAGAAATACTATGGCAAATTAGTTGGTTTATCAGACACCAGAGACTAAATAAAAAATGTAGTCCTTTTTGGATAGATAAAGAATCTATTACATGAATGAGAAGTCATCTAGCTTGCCCCTGCTGTTTTCATCTCTTCCATCACAGAGCACGTGGCTCCAGAGGTGGGGGTTTCCATGGCTCCACAGGAGTCAGTGCTATCTCTACATTGAGGGGGTTGGAAAACTTCAGTGCCCGGAAGATACTTCTAGCTTCTTTCATTTTACCTAATCTCCCTTTTTCTTGTTCCCTGAGTCTTCTTCCTCTGGACCTTTCTTTTTTTTTAAATAATCATTTTCGTTTTTTAATTCATTGCCACTCATGAGGTAAACTAATATATCAGAAAATTTTGTGTTTTAGAATCATTACAAAGGCGATAAACCACTCTAGTTTATATTTTAAGCCCTTTCGTTTATCAAATTATTGGTAGCCTACCATTTCTCTGTTTTAAAAGCACTAATAAAATTGAGTGCACATGTTCATAATTTTATATATATTTATTTTTTTTTATTTTTTTTTTTTAATATTAAATTTTATTTTTATATTCCCCCATACAATTGCAAACGCCCCATTCTGACCCCAATCCTTCCCCTCCCGCCCCCCACCCCCAAAAAGTGTCTCTGGTTCATAGTTTTTTGTTGATTTTGATTTTCACTTTCTTTTTTATATATATTTATGATGTATTACAGCCTAAAGAAATATAGATGAAATTAAAGAATTATAACTTTTAGTGATGTTTTGAAAATTTATATAAAAGTGACTTTATTTTATTGTTTTTTTGAGTTAACTTTGGTTTATAATATTACATAAATTTCAGGTGAACATTATAATGTGACACCTTTATACCCTATGGTAGCTTACTTACCACTAAAGGACTAGTTTCCATCTGTCACCATATAATTGACCCGTGTTACCCATTTCACCCTCTCCCTCTACTTCCCTTCCTCTGTGGTATGAAAGTGATTTTGTTAACAGGAACTTAGTGATATGATGATTTAATAATACCAACTTTAAAAATTATTATTATCTTTTTCCTTTACAGGTTTTTGATGAAGTTGTGAAGGTTTTTGACAAAGAAGGCTAACTCTAAACCTGAAAGCATCCTAGATATCATGCTTGAATATTGCTTTGATAGCTGCTATCACAAACCCTTTTTAAGGCGATTTTAACCTTTGGTAATTACATCTCAGTTAATGGTGGGAAGGTATGTAGAAAGACAAATTACATTTTTTTATCTACAGTTTTTTTTTGGTCTTAGGGGTAGACAGTGAATTTGGGTTTAATTTATCTTAGCTATGGTGCTCGCAAAACAGAAGGATATCGGCTAGTTCTTTTTATTAGAAAAGAATATCCCTTTTATAGTTTGTGCCTTTTTGTGAGCAAAACTTTTTAGTGTATGTGTACATCCCTTTAGTAATTACAAGATGTTAGGTGTAGGGATACCCTCTTCCCCTCTTTCTTGCAGGTTTTAAATTTCCGACCTGCTAAGTGAATTTGTGGACCAAATTCCAAAGGAACTTGTTGTGTAGTCAGTTCTTGCACAATGTGTTTGGTAAACAAACTCATGAAATGAATTCCTAGAAGTGTTTTAGTATTTATCAAATAACTGACCATTTCCTACAGAATGATAAAGAAACGTAGGCTTTATGTTGTACCACAACTTGTACAAAGTTGTGTGATAGGGCATATTCTTTACTTCCAGGGATGGGGATGAAGATACGGGGGGGTTCAGAGCCTGGAAGAATTGTCAGCTTTATTCTGACAAAAATCTGAGGGTAAGGAGCAAGGACTGTGTCTAATGACATATGTTCCTTAGCAGTGGAACCTTGAAGTGTGTGTATTAGATTGACGGTAAAATGATTTGGTTAGCATTTCAGTAACACTTCAAAAATTTTTTTTGTTTGTTTTCTGACTAAATATAGTGTTAGTAAAAAGAAATCTAATGGTTAAATTTCCCATTTGTATTTTATTTTCTTGAATATTTTTTTCATAGTTATTTGTTTAAGAAGATTTAAAAATCATTGCACTTTGGTCAAAAAAATGATAAATATATCTAATAAATGTTTGATTCCCTCCCTGGCTACTTTTATTTAGTAAATTGTTTTGGGGGCATCATGTTGAAGCACTGAAAGGTACAGAATTTTAAAGAGCAGATAGAGTCCAAGGGAATTTTCTCTTAAGTCCATTCTTCCTTTAAAAATCTCTGAGAAATTTATTTTTGCCTTTTTCTGCCATCACGAATACAAAGGAGGGTCCAAGGTTCTTAACATGATATTTATTAAAATACTTCTCATTTTTAACACTTACTTTGGCATACAGGGTTCAATCAGGCAAGAAATTTTATCTTTATATAATTAGATTTTATATTTAAAGTCATTAGGAATAGTGAGGACAATTTATGGATGTAGCCACATTATAAAAGATTAAATTGTTTCTATGTGTGATTGTGTTATGAAATTCACTTATTAATGATAAATTTCTTAACATATTGCCATTAGAAAACAAAATATCCATAAATATTGTAACATACCAGCCACCAAAATTTGTATTGATATTATCTTGGTATCTGGGAAAAGATTGTAATGAATTCTGATCTAGTGATTCAGTCCAGCCAGGATAGGAACACTTTGCTGGTAGTTTAATCAAACAGCTGTAATATGAAGCAAGAGTATGAAGAATAAAGTTTTGAGGGCATCCCTACTCACATATGAGAAAACACCTATCAGATGGGAATCTAAATATTTATACTGGTATTGTGAAGATAACCTTAAGGTTTTTAAGAAGACTGCTAAAACTAGGTGCTTTGCTTCCTTTCATCAAATATCTTTCTGTGACATTTGAGAACAGAATCCAAGAAACATAAAATTACTAAATTATGGGGCTTTGCTTTTTAAGTAGAAAAACATATTGACAATATTGAGTTTAAAATTTGATTGAGATAAATCTGTCTTCACTAGTTTGGCTATTCCTTTTGTTAAAGATACAGTCACTGAGAAGATTTTGACATTCTTGAAAGACCCCTATGGAAGCATTGCTATTTTTTTTAATTAACTAACATTATTTCCATTCAGTGATGTTGGATGTATATGAATTATTTAGTAAATAATCCAATAAATTTTGTGCTATAGCCTTTGTTGTTTGCTGGTTCAGATTTCTATTCTTCAAGCATATGGAAGATCAAGAAGTATCATATTTAACATATGGGTCCTTGCACGGCAGAAACAGTTCAGGATCCAGGAGAATTTTCTGCTCTGTGTGTTATGTTTGTGCGTCTTGAATTAAGCAGAAAGCATGAGTTTATCCCATTCCTTCAAGAAGTAATCTGGATTGAGGCACAAGCAGCCTATTTCATTACCCGCCCGCAGCGTCAAAATTGCTCATCTCTTTGAGGGGGAAATTGGCAGCAGGCAATGTATCTCAAGATGCAGGTTTTTTTGTGGGCTTATGGCTTTGTCCATGTAATTTAAGTGGTTGCCTGACATTCCAGTGGTCCCTGGAGAAAATAATGGCAGAAAGTATTGACCAGACTAGACTAGGTCAGCATCTTTTCCCTGGAGATTTGGCCCTTCTTCTTCAAACACAAAACAGTTGCAGAAACCATAGTGTTACAAACACATTCTCTGCCTGCCTCAGTTTCCTGTCTAAAAGTTGCACTCTAATATGAAAAGACCTTCAGTTGTCTTCTGCTGGCTAAGCTCAGTCATTCATGTATATCCTATTTCAATTATCTAGCCTACCTGTGTATTACAGCTAAATTATGTACTTCTTAATTCTAAGCCATTTTTAAAATGTGAAACAAAAAGGAAGCTCATGTATTGTGTACCAAAGGAAAAAGGTAAAAATTATCCTAATCACTTATCCCTTTATTTTCTCACCTATGACTCCAATGTAAGTACTCTCTGGGATCCGGGTGTTCCTTCCTTGAAGGAGTGCCATTGTAATGTGGACCTCCTGGGAGTGCTCAGCTCACCCTCTTTCCTGACCTGGGAAAGGAAGGGCTGAAGGACTGAGTTGAATTTCTGGCTACCACCCTACATACCCTTTGCCAACAGTACCAGCTCCAGACTCTCAAGCTCTCATCAGGGGGCAGCCAAGCTCTTATGGGATCCCTGCTCATCAGAGCAAAACATGTTTCTCTTGGGCCTGTCTTCTTCAAAGAAGCTTTTCTTTCATAACTTTGTCCTCCTAAAAACCCAGGCATAAGAAAAGAGGATTTAGTTATTTTTTTCCCTTTTGGGAGTAAAGGGTAATATAGCAGCATTTCTCTAGGTGAGGTTCTTTCAGCCACAGAAAACTTTTTTTATGATACATTTTTTAATTAACTATACAGCTTCTGAACACTGGCCTTCGACAGCCTAACCAACTGGAGGAAAAGCATCTGCAGGGTTGGCTACCGCATTTTATCCCTAAGGTGGATAATCCAGCCAGCTTTATCCACAGTAGAATCAAGTGGCTAACTAGCATACTGTATATACAGTAGCAGATGCAGTCTCTTTTGGCTGAGTAAAGACATTTAAAAAGAAAGTAAAATTCAGAAAAAAACATGTATGTGAACTTTGGGAATGCTCTGTTATTACCCTTTAGAAGACTTCCTAGAAGAAATAAACTTAGTATCTGCTTCTATGAAATTAAGGAGAAAAAATTTATGCACTGGGCCCAAGATGGTGTCCATGAAGACCCTGGAATTGGATGTTACCCATGCAGCCTTTTGAGGACTCTGGGTGGAACTGGCCCTCTCAGCCACTGACTCAAACGGCTTCCAGGGCCAGAAGAGATAGACACGGGGTTGTTCAGCGATCAGTACTTAAAAGCACAAAACTTGTGCCTGGCTTACCCTAGGTTATTTATTAGTTTTATATAGAAGAATTTCCACAAGTGGCTTCAAAGATGTTGCCAGAACCTGGTTAAAGTATCTGATCATAAGGCAGGCCCAAATGACATTATCAAATGTAATTTTGTTTTTCTTTTTAGTTACCAGGTAATGGACACAGTAGGCACTAGCTTCATCCTATCCTCATTTGGAATAGTGGTCAAGATGGACACATTATTTATATTACTTGGGGGTGGGATTGCTAAAGTTTAATAGTTAACTTCAGATGTATCAAAATAGTCCCACATCAAAATGATCACTAGAAACATCAGAATCCCCCTGGTGTCAAAATAGCTGTGTCAGAATGTCTGTCAGACATGACAAGAGCAGGCTATCTGTATTTCTGTCCCTGTTTAGGGTCTTGACTTAGGTCTGGAGAAGTACTATTCAGGGAAAGACAGAAACTGGGACTTGAGGCTGCTACTTTTTTTTTTTAAAGATTATTTATGCATATAAGAGCTGGGGTACAGGCCAGAGATGTGGGGAGTGAGAGGATTCACCAAGGACAGAGTGGGGAACAGATAGACCGAAGTACACTGCTGAGGAGAGCAGTGGGCAAGTCAGGAGAGGTCTGCTGCGCCATGTGGGTTGCTCCCTGGCCAGCTGGGGTTCAAACTCTCGCTGCAGAGGCAGCAGATTGCTTCACAGTGCGGTGCTTAACCCTTTGCACCACCAGTGAGGCCCGAGGCTGCTACTTCTGTGGAGGATGGAAGGTTCAGAATTTAAAGAATGGGATGGGATGAGGTTGGATGGGGTGGGGAGAACAAGAGAGAGAAGTAGTCTAGTCTACGTCATACCTGATGGCTCTTGTAGGAACGATTTATATGCCATAACGACTTCCACCATTTCTTAATCCAAATTCTTCGTAATCCCAGACTGTATTCCTGCTCCTTTCCATGAGTAGTTTGTTGCTGAAAATGGGTTTCAGGAATGTGATTCCCTTAACACTATTTATCTTTATTTACCCTAAACTTGTGGCTTAAGTAGTAGAGTGTAGATATTAGTTTGTAGTTGAGTGTAGGTATTAGCTTGTATATCTGACCTAAGAAAACAGCTATTTATCCCAGCTAAATCATTATCTTATAAGATGGAATGCAGGTCATGACTAACTGCAGAAATGACAGCTAGATGCAAGTAGGAGGTGTTATTACAGTGTATAGTCACATTCACGTGGGATCAGACATGTTAATTGAGCTGTCACTGAGCAAACCAAATTTCAGAGATACTGACCTCTGTGGGTAAGTTCTGAGTCTGGGGGTGGAGCCAGCACCTCCAATCACCAGACCAGATGACAACAGCACTAAAATGATGACATTACCAAAAAGTTGGCTGGCCATTCATTCAAAATATGTCGAGACAGGTTTACTAGGAATACAATGATCTGTATACAGCCCTGCCCTCAATAAACTCACTAAGTAAGCTCAAGACTAGTAGTTTCTTAACTGTATTGTTTCTATAGTGCTTTTTTAAAATTTTATTTTATATAATTCTTACATCATTTTTCATTTTTGCACAATGTATGCATTTTCATTTGGTTATATTCCCCATACAGTTGCACCTCCCCCTTATTTTAACTCTAATCCTTCTCCCCCCCACCCCCCGTCATGTGTCTCTGGTTTATAGTTGCTTGTTGATTTTGATTTTTACTTTGTATTAATTAGTCTTTTTCCTGGTCCCTTACTTAGGTTTTCTAAATTCCTGCTATGAGTGAGACCATCCTTTATTTTTATTTTTCTTTCTGACTTATTTTGCGAGCATGATCCCTTCCAGCTCCATCCATGTTGCTGTAGTGCCTTTTTAATGTTGACAAACATTTTGATCTCATTTTGCTTTCCTAGTGAGGCAGGTTGGGATGATTTTGTTTCCTGGATGGTTTAACTTAGGCCCCCGGAGTCCAAATCAACTGACCTGTTTAGTTGTGAGTCTGGAACTGGAACCAGACCTCTGGGTCTTAGGCCATGTGCCTCTGACTGGCATTGCCTACCTGTAATAAAGCCCACTTTTGAAGAGTAACCTCTAATACCCACCATGCTTCCTCAGTCCCTAGCCTCTTAAGTCTTCATTTTCTCCCTTGTACCTACGACCAGTTGTGAGTGTCTGCTTACCGTATAACTCCCCTGATAGATTAAGTACATGTGCCAGGAGAGCAAAAATGATGTCTGTCTTCTTCATCTTGGTTTCCCAGTGCCTGCACCTAATAGGCACTCGATTTTTTTTTCTCGGAAAAAATTGGTGGTAACTTGTAGGGTAAAAGAATTAATTGGGCTTTTTGTTCCATTAGCCTCTGTGGCCATCACCAGTGGCCTTGATCTTGTTAATGCAGAAAGTGCTTGCTAGCATGGGCGCGGGCACATGGGCCTGACTATGGACACCTGGAGTGTGGTGTAGGCATGTGTACGTGTGCACACCCGAACCTAGAGGCCAGGGCTATAAGGGCGGCTACAGGAGGATGAGCGGTGTGACTACAGAAGAGGCAAGACCACAAGATGACACCAGAGAGAACGCCAGAGAGAGCCCAGAGAAAGAGTGTAGAAGATGGGCTGGGGGGCTTAGTTGCTGCCAGCCCCTTGACCCCCGGCCTGCCCTGCGCCTGCTTACACTACATAACTAGCTACAAGTTGCATCACTGAACTTTAGATCCCAATTGGGCCTGCTTGTGATCTGAGGGTTCTATTTTGATCCTGCCCAAAAGTTAGAAGCTGATAACCATGAAATACGGGAGAGGGGAGATGAATTTTCGAGCCCACCATCCTCCTCCTACTTTTAGTACACAACCCATAGACTGTTTTAGAAGGTAAACAATGTTTTGACAAAAATCTTGGTAGCCACCCATAATTCATCTTCGTTGCTAGATTTTCGACCTATTGTAACTACTTTAATATTACAGTGTTATGACAGAGAATCTCTAGGAAGATTTTGACAGGTTTTGGTTCTTGTTAACAGATCTGAAATGGTTTAGTGTAATTTTCTACTTGAAATCTGTAGGACAAATAAGGTGAATGAGGCTTTTTTTTTCACCTACTGTTGCTGGCCTCTGGCTACCACCTGTGGTCTTGTATGCCGGCTAGGTTGCGTGAATCTGGGGCCAAGGGGCCTGGGTGCCGGGCACGCTCACCTTTGATTCCAGACACTGGGCTGAGAAGCCAAAGAGCACGGGGTGTGCACTTATGTAAATGTGCACACCTGAGCCTGGAAGGGCGGTGTAGTGTAAGGAAAAATGTCAGGCTTTTCTGCCCTCCCGCCATCAGGATAGATGATGGATCCTTGCGGTCCTGAATG